TCGGCGCACAAGATGGTTTCTTTCCTGGAATTTTATGCTTCACTGCTAATGATTCGTAGCCGTAATCCTGGCATAACAAATTGGTTACTGGCTTTTGGAGATTTGACCCATCAAATTCTGGTCGACATTTATGCCAAGGTGGAATCTGAAAGGCTGCATTACATCTCAGCGCATCAAGCTCAACTTCGTGCAACCGAATACATCAATCTGTTAGATGCTATTCGCACTGACAGGAGTCATGCCCTTATTGGAAGACAAGTTATTCTTCCTTCTTCCTTTGTGGGCAGTCCAAGGCACATGCATGAGTATGCCCAGGATTGCATGGCTCACGTCCGTAAATATGGTCGCCCAGACCTTTTAATTACATTTACATGCAATCCTGAGTGGCCTGAGATAAAACTAATGCAATTCCCCACCCAAGGTGCATTTGTTCGGCATGACTTGGTTGCACGCATTTTTCACTTGAAAATTACCAAGCTTATAGATTTGATCACCAAGGGTGATGTTTTTGGCAAGCCCCAATGTTGGTGTTATACCATTGAATGGCAAAAGCGAGGGCTACCACATGCGCATATTTTATTGTGGCTTAAAGAAAAGATTCGCCCAAACCAGATTGATTCGATCATTTGTGCTGAAATCCCCAATGAGGAGGTTGATGCTTCACTGTTTCGGACTGTAACCAAAAATATGATTCATGGGCCATGTGGACATGGGTATCCTAATCCTGGCTGCATGGAACGAGAAGATGCCAAAAGAAATATTCACGGCTACTCTTGGCTGAAACGCAGACAGATAGGGATGGCTACCCATTGTACAGACGTCGCAGGCCTGAGGAAGGTGGCTTTTCTTTTGTTAAAAGAGTGAGAGTTTTCACCATTGAGAATGGTGTTCAGGTTGTGCGCATGACTAATGTTACCATTGATAATAGGTATGTTGTGCCATATTCGCCTCTTCTATGCAGACTATTTGATAATAAAATCCTAAATAATTGCAATTAGATATTCAAGGAATGAAAGGAAGAAAAAATTGCAAAGAGTTTCTCTTCCTTTTTTTTCAAATTTTTCTTCCTTTCATTCCTAGACTATTTGATGCTCACATCAATGTGGAGTCCTGTGCTTCAATCTCTGTTATAAAATATATCTGCAAATACATATACAAGGGTTCAGACCAATCAATTCTTGCAGTTACTGGTGCTCAAACAGAGTCTAATGAAGTGCTAGAGTACCAACGTGGTCGATATATTAGTAGCAATGAAGCTGTTTGGCGCATTCTGGGATTCCCTATTCACAGACGCCATCCAATGGTTCAACATCTCTCTGTACACTTGAAAAATGTGCAGCGTGTATATTTTACTTCTGCTAATGCTGCACTACAGGCTCACCGTCCACCTAAGACCACGTTGACAAAATTGTTTACTCTTTGCCAGCGCGATAACTTTGCAAAAACACTTCTCTATGTTGAATTTCCTGTTTACTACATTTGGTCTGCTTCTAAATCATGGCAGCCTCGAAAACAAGGCACTCGCATTGCTGACCAAGTTGCTTTTGCTTCTGATGCTATTGGCAGAGTCTACACCGTTCATCCAAATTTTGAGGAATGTTTTTATCTTCGCATGCTGTTTCATAGTGTTCGTGGTCCGACTTCTTTTGCAGCCCTCAGAACAATCAATGGTGTGCTCTGTCAAACATATAAAGAGGCATGTCTGCATTTGGGATTGCTTGAGAATGACCAGCAATGGCATTATTGTATTCAGGAAGCAGTGCTAAGTGAGTCTCCTTTAAAAATCCGGGAACTTTTTGCTATTATTCTTACCTGCTGCCACCCTACCAACCCTCAAGATATCTGGGCACAATTTGAAGAACCAATGTCTGCAGATATTCTGAATCTTGCCAGACAGCAAGCCAATGACGGTCTTTTACAGCTGACATACGAAATGTTAAATCAGGCTTTAATACTTTTAGAACAAAAAGTTCTGCAAATGACTGGTTTCCATTTGACAAAGTTTGGAATGAGGTCCCCACAACGCAATGTTACTCACCGAACCAGTCATGAACTTTTAAGAGAAACATCGTATGATATCAGCAGGTTACTACAATTTGTGGCTTCGAATGAACCGAAACTTGCCAATGTCCCTGAGCAAAAGGAGGCTTACGAAAGGATCCTTTCTAAAATTGATTCCAATGCTGGCGGATTGTACTTTTTTGATGCTCCGGGGGGCACAGGAAAAACTTTTCTGATCAATCTTCTTATAAAGGTACGAAGTACTGGGGACATTGCTCTTTCTACAGCTTCTCCTGGTATTGCGGCCACTCTGTTGCATGGTGGCAGAACTGCTCATTCGACTTTCAAATTACCCTTAGATTTGACCAGGGATGAGGTACCAGTTTGTAATTTGAATGCTGATTCCGCAATGGGCGAAGTTCTTAGACAATGCAAATTTATTGTCGGGGATGAATGTACTATGGCACACAGGCATGCTTTAGAGGCAAGTTGACATAACACTTAAAGATTGTAGGCAGGATCAGAGACCAATGGTGTAGTGTTATTGTTGGCCGGTGACTTCAGGCAGATATTGCCCATTATCCCTAGAGGTACAATAGCAGATGAGTTGCATGCTTGCTTGAAGGCATCCCCACTTTGGTCATTTGTTGAAATACTTACTCTTTCAACAAATATGCGGGCTGTCAATTCAGGAGATCCTAACTCACTGTTATTTTCACAATTTTTGCTCCAACTTGGAAATGGCCAACTTAATGATACGGATGGTAATGTTAATTTTTAAAATGAATTGGTTAACACTGTTGTGTGTGTGTGTGTGTGACTCCCTCTCTGGCCTGAAAAATAGTGTTTTTACTAACATTGGGGAGATGTTTAACCGGGGAAGGGCGAATTACTATCCTTGGCTTTGTGAGCGGGCAATTTTAGCTCCAAGGAATTGTGTAGTTGATGCCATAAATGCTCAGCTTTTGAAAAAAATACCAGGGAAAGCATTTTATATACTACTGTGGATTCAACCATTGATGCTGAGGATTGCGTGGTATATACTACAGAGTTTTTAAATTCTTTAGAACCTTCTGGGATGCCACCACATCACTTAGAACTTAGAGTTGGTGTTTCCATTATTTTATTGAGAAATATTGATGCACCCCGCCTTTGCAATGGTACCCGTCTCTGTGTTAAAAGATTGTGGCCTCATGTGGTAGAGGCAACCATTTTGACTGTTTTTTTTTTTTTCAAAATGAAGGGGTTTTTATCCCCCGGATTCCTCTGATTCATGATAATAAACATTTCCTTTGCCATGTCGATTAACAAGGCTCAAGGTCAGTCCCTCAAAATTGCTGGCATTGACTTGGAGCAACCCTGTTTCTCGCATGGGCAATTGTATGTTGCCTGCTCTAGAGTTGGCTCAGGAAGAAATCTTCATGTTTTGGCTCCAGAAAATAAGACTTCAAATTTTGTGTTTTCTTCTGTGTTGTCATGAATATATTTTTTAAAATGCTATTTTAGTCTCTTTTTTTTTGTTGTTTGAGTGGTATATTATTTTCATAATTCTTTTTATATACGTATATATTTGTATACTAGCGGATGTACCCGGCTTCGCCCAGGTTTTTTCGAGGGAATGTTTGTAGTCTAGTAATAAGAAAATATACTACACCTAAAAACTATCAGAGAAAAGAGAAACCACGGAAGGTGAACAGAAAAATGCTTACAATGGATGTTATGTTTACGATATCAAGTTAAATAAAAACAAAGATAAAATTTGCATATGTTGGTCACTATAAATTTGTATATTTGTTAGGCGAAATTAGAAACATCATAAAACAATTGGGTATTTATAAACAAATGTAGAAATAAAAGTTGAAGTATAATAAACAATGTTAAAGATTAGTTTTAATTATTAATCAAGATTGTGTGTGAATATGTGAGAAAGATGTAATATCGTTGTTGTTTTCTTGGCCGACTGTTTTAGATATGGTGTTATCTTAAAATTGCTTGTTTTGAATATTTTTTAGATTGAGATTATTAGCTAGTATGTAAAAAATTACCATTGTTGAAATTTAATTTTGTATTTATATATAAATAAAATTAACTCTGTTGATTTTTTTTGTATTTAATCGATAACAGCGAAGTTACGCATGTTAATGTTAGGAAATATATTTTGATGTTAAGCAAAACCTGCTCCATCTCGTTTTACATAAATGTTGAAAATTTGGTTGAAATTGACGCATTGTAACGAAAGTTTTTAGTGATGTCCACTTATGAAATTTCCATTTTATTAATATAGATATTTGAAAGGTAACATCTCTAGAATTAGAATATTCAAGGACAGTTGCAGATTATTATGATTTATATTAATATTAGTTTTTTTTAATTATTTTTCAGAAAAACATCTACGAATGTTTGACTGGGGTCTGAAAACATTAGATTACAGGCTGCTGGCCAGGCTTGGCCAATCACGGTCATTCTTCTCAAGCAATTTCAATCCCTATCCCTTTTTACCCAAAGAGTGTAATAGACCTACAGAGGATGCACCACTATATATAAGAGTTAACACGCTGGGGCGGGTACCTTGGAGGTTGGGTGGAAAATCTGCCAACTATTTGAACTATATTTAAAACACCTAAATGGATTGAAACATAAATAAATAAAATACCTAAATACTAATATATTGCATTTTTTGACATCACACATACTTTTTGCCTGTGATAATATATTGCTTCGGTGTTGCTATTCTATGGCTCTAATACTATTTATTAGTAATGTTCTTTCAGTATGAAGGAAATTGCACTCGGGGGAATTCCCGGGCGAAGCCGGGTCATTCGTCTAGTATGTTTATAAATTTATATATTATTAAAATATAAATTTTAATAATATAATTTTTTAAAACGTGACTGTGCTTTGTTTTGGTAAATAAATATTTCAACTGTTAAAGAGAAGCAAAGTTCGTTTCAAAATGTTCTTATATAAGTATAGAATATCTTTCTTGATAGTCATTCTAAGCCGAAATAGCTCAGTTGGGAGAGCGTTAGACTGAAGATCTAAAGGTCTCTGGTTCGATCCCGGGTTTCGGCATCTTTTTTTATAATTGTTTAAAAATAAAATACATTTAAAAAAGAGGCATCTGCTTATCGGGCAACTGAAAGTTGCTAATGGCTTGGTACCTTTTTTCGTTTTTCAATTTATAAACCTTATCTGAGTACAATATCAGATTTTACTATTTTTTTCATATACAGTAAAACCTCCTATTAAAAATATATTTGAAAAAGGCATCTCCTTATCGGGCAACTGAAAGTTGTTGATCGCTTGATGCGTTTTCTAGTATTTTAATTTATGAACCTTATCCCAGTACAATATCACATTTGTACTATTTTTTCACAGTAAAACCTCCCTTTAGCGGACACCTCTTCACACAAAGGACAGTTTTCTTTTGCAAAATTACCATTTTTTACAATTTAGCAACTCTCCAGTAAGAGAACACCTCTCCCACTTTGGCTCTGCAATTAGGTGTCCTTTACAGGGAGGTTCTACTGTTAATGTTAAAAAATTAGTAATCCATTTTAAGAACATTAAAAGAATGGCATATTTTGGATCAATATAATTTATTTAAAAATATTTCCGATAATTCGATGAGGCTGTTCGCCTATCTTCCTCTAGGAATTCAAACTCCTTGTAAGCCAATCATCCGTGTGATGCATGAGAGGTATTGTTTATATAAGTTGAAGTGACCGAAACATTTTGAATGAATAAATTATATAATTAGAAATAAAATGTTATATCTATTATATTTAACTAGTTTTGTTTTAACTGTAGGTATGTTTGCGGTATGTATATTTTCCTATTAATACTGTTTTTATCATATATAGATGCCCAGCTCTCCAGAAATAATGTTTGTCCTGTATGTTGTGGAAAAACTATTGCATTATCAAAATCTGGAATATGTGCTTGCTTGATTGCATGATCTACAAGTAATGACAAAGGGCTGTGATTTCTGAAGGCTATCTTGTGTTGATCAAGTTTCTCTGTTAGGGTTTTTCCCGTTTCACCAATGTAAGATGATGTACAAGATTTGCATGGTATGCGGGATATAAGGTTTGATTGGGTTTCTTGTTATGATTTCGTTTAGTTGTAGGATGACGGAGAAGGTTTCTTAAGTTTGGAGCGGATTGGTATCTAATATTTATATTGAATCTTTTGAGAGATCTGGCTATTCTTTCAATTCCATAACTGTAGAGAAGTAAACAGGATGGGTTCTGACCTTGACTATTGTTTTTAAAGGGTTTCTATTTCTATTAATATACTTGTTCATAAATTGTTTAGGATATTCGTTGTATTGCAATTTCCTCGATAATAATTTTATTTCTTTTTCAACGGTTTCTATATTTTGAGAACAGTGGGTGAGGATTCTTTTTGAAAATGTTTTTAGTACGGATATTTTGTGGTTCATGGGGCCAAATGATTTGAAATTGAGGTATGATCCTGTATGTTTCTGGTATATATCTGTTTCTATGTCATTGTTGATCCTCGTCAGTTTTCTTCTATTCCATTGGTAAATTTTAAAAATAGTTTTAAATTTTTCAAGAAGTTCAGAACGTTGGGTATGCTATTGATTTCAGTGATACATAAGATACCATCGATGTATCGCTTCCATAAAATTATATTGAGATGTCTTTCTTCCTTAACTATATTATCAATTTGATCAATAAATACAAGAGATACTTCTTGTAGATACTCCTGGTCCCTTATTGGAGGTTGGATTATGGAAATTCACAAAAGTGAGTCGCTCAGAGAAGGTTTAAAATGTTCTAATAAAAGCTTGTGTATATATTTTTTCAAAATTAGCCACGTTTTATTGTTGTCTATTAGATGTTAAAGCCAAAAACAATCTTTAAGATTCGTTACATCATATACGCACAAAATGATCATAGGTCGTGCAGTCGTGGCCGAGTGGTTAAGGCGATGGACTAGAAATCCATTTGGATCTTCCCGCACAGGTTCGAATCCTGTCGAGTGCGTTTTTTTTTTATGTTAGAATTTAAGGCCACGACAGTGGATCGAATCTAGTATTTAACACTTTTTTTCTGAATAGAAAATTTGCTTCAATTGCCCACGATTTCTTGAAAAAGTCCAACTCCACCAGTAATTGAAATACACCCATACCTCGCTTTGCGTCGGGGTTACGTTCCAAAAATACACGAAGCAAATTGAAACGACGCAAAGTGAAAATAAATTTTCTATAGAAAACCATTTGATGATCGAAGATAGGTTCCAGGCTTACGAAAATACTACCTTTTAAAAATAAACACTTTTTTTTCTGAATAGAAAATTTGCTTCAATTGCCCACGATTTCTTGAAAAAGTCCAACTCCACCAGTAATTGAAATACACCCATACCTCGCTTTGCGTCGGGGTTATGTTCCAAAAATACACGAAGCAAATTGAAACGACGCAAAGTGAAAATAAATTTTCTATAGAAAACCATTTGATGATCGAAGATAGGTTCCAGGCTTACGAAAATACTACCTTTTAAAAATAAACACTTTTTTTTCTGAATAGAAAATTTGCTTCAATTGCCCACGATTTCTTGAAAAAGTCCAACTCCACCAGTAATTGAAATACACCCATACCTCGCTTTGCGTCGGGGTTATGTTCCAAAAAAAAAAAAACACGAAGCAAATTGAAACGACGCAAAGTAAAATACATTTTCTATAGAAAACCATTTAATGATCGAAGATAGGTTCCAGGCTTACGAAAATACTACCTTTTAAAAATAAAATTGAACAAAATAAAATTTTTTCAAACACACAAAAATAATATACAAAAAAAACGTATTTAATTAAACAAAATAAACTACATATTCATTTAATTTATTAAAATTTAATTAAAATTAATTACTGTCTGATGAGTCCATAGTGGCTGTTGTCGTAGGTCGGCTTTCTTTCATTAAAAAAATGGTCCATTGTTTGTTGAACAGCTTTTTTTTTTCAACGTAAGATAAATTTCCTTGTAGCAATTGATATTCGTAGCTACCGCCTGGGAAACTTTTAAACTCCTTCCGCTGTCAGGATCGTTTAAAAAAAAATCTACATAGCTTCGTTAATCAAACATATCGCTTTAGAAATTTGTTTGGAGGTTAAATTTTGTTCTTTGGAGATTTCTATTAAACGGTCACTGTCGTCTTCTTCATTAGCGAAATGCAATTCCAGTTGCAATAGTTCTTTATTAGAGAATTCTTGGTTGTGCGAGGTTAGCAATTCATTTATGTCGGTCTCTCTCTTTTCTCGGTATCTTTTTAAAATAGCACAACATACTACATTACCTCACACTACGTACTCTAAAATAAGCAAAACAAAGTGAAAATAAAATTGTATTATATTTGCGTTTATTTTTAGTTAGAAAGAGAATTCCCAAATTTTGATGGCATGGCGCAATTAAAAACAATGGTGTTGCCATATTTTAGGGAAAAAAAATTAAAGACTCGAATCCAAAACAACGCAACTTCGAAAATCTAACGACGCACAGTGAAAATCAGTGAAAATTAAGCAGCGACGCAACTTCGAAAAAAAAACGCAAAACGAAACGACGCAAAGCGAGGTATTGGTGTATACCAAAATATATTTTACATTTTTAAGTACCAAAGTCTAACTGATTTCTCTAAATGTGATACAATTACAGTAAAAACAGTCGCTAACCACTACTACTCACCATGAATATTATGTCCTCTACCACGTGTACTAGGGATAGTATAAAAATGATAATAGAAATGGCTTACCTCTGAATAGGTTATGGCTCTTTCTTGGTCAGTAAATTTAGAATTTTATAAACATGACCGAAGAGAAAACCTTATTATTTCATATTGATTAGCTAATACTTATTTTATTTTCATTTTATTACATACGAATTTTTGTGTTATAGTGTTGTTAAAGGTGAATTAATCCTAAGTCTGAAATCTATCTTCACCTACATGACGATCGACCGATCTCTAGCTTCCAAACATTGCTAAGATGGAGGCTGTTGCTTGGCCTACAGAATGCTCTGTTCTTTATATATACGTCCACATAGAGAAGCTTTTATTTTTCGAAGTTTCGTCCAACATCTATTGTTCTCGTTAAGAAAAATGTTGGTAAGGCGTTACGAATGTATCTAAGGGTTTATTCGAGCTCTCGCGCGAAATTTCAAATTTACTCTAACATTGAAATCAAGAGTCAAAATAAAATAAATTTTTAAATGAATAACTAACTAAATATATTGGAATTGAGAGAGAGAGAAATAACTTGTTTTTTATTTCTTCAAGTTAATTTTAAAAATGTATTGAGAAACGTCTTCTTTATAGGGTGCCTTCGCAATTCATTCTTTTGAATAACAATAAATCATAGCATATATAGCATCCGCACACAAAATTCAATATTCGGTTCCTTAGCTTGTTCATTACTCATTGCTTCTAGAAATAAACTTTTGTCATTTGAGATGACATGTGCAGTCCGGTATTTTCATCTGACGTCTCCGACACCACATCTCAAAGCCAATAGAGGGTCACCTCTACATAGATCATCCACACAAATGCCTGTAAACAAAGGTCATTGGCGAATTTCAGATATAATTATCGTAAGTATATATTCTTTAGTTTTATTTTTAATTATTAATTAACCAGATGCGATACAGTAGAGCCTCCCTTTAGCGGACACCCCGCTAGTGGTCATCTCTCCATAAAGGACAGTTTTCATTTGCAAAATTACTATTTTTACAATTTAAAAACTCTCTCTAACGGACACTTTAGTTCTGCAAAAAAAAAGTCGCGTGGTCTACCTAGGTCAAATGCTATGAGCTGGGGTATAGCGATGATCCACTTGAATGAGTTCTGTAAACTTGAATAAGGGAACTCTACGTAAATGAACAAGGAATTTCGATTTAATGAATTCTAGAATAAAAGCTACATGAATGAATTTGATTAGCCTAACATGACTTGATGGCTCGATTTAACTAGACTAACGAGTAAACTAAGAGAGAAAATATGGTTTTACGGGCTACTAACCAAAAGTTATGATTTTTGAGCCCAAGCGCGATGTCAGGTGGCAA